GAAGTTTCCTCGTTCCTTTAGATCAGGAATTCCTCGGACCAGTTTAGCTTTAGACAGGGCAGCAAGTTTTTTTAAGCTAATATGGCCCAGTTTTCTGTGCCAGGTAGCTTCCTGATAATCAGACTTGGACACTAAACAGGATTCATTAAAAGCTTTCAAATCATGCAGGTCAATCACATACATATTTCCAATACGATTACCTATAAACATAATCTTGTTATCACGGACATGTTCAACTAGACAGTGAGAAGTTTCAAATGTCACTTTGTTTCCACTACTACATAACTGACTTATGGAAAGTAAGTTATGCTTAAGACCATCTACAAGCATGACATCTTTAACAGTTGGCATAGGAGACTGACCAATAATTCCTTGTCCCACTACTCTGCCAGAACTGTTGTCTCCAAAGACTACTTCACCTCCTAACTCATAATTTAAAGTTGAGAAGAGATCTTCATTACCTGTCATATGATGCGAACAGCCGCTATCCAGGTACCATTTACTTTCAGTTTCCTTGAATTCATTGGTAAGATCTTTGTGATTTTCAGTGATTGACATCCTTGCCATGTAAGCCTCATCAACGTTCCCTTCATTTTCATCCTTAGTCTCATAGTCGCTCCAAGAAGCAGCCATTGCTCGTTCTTTGGCCTTCAGTGTCAACGGGCAGTTTGCTCTAACGTGTCCCATCTTTCCACACTTGTAACACCCTTGAGATTCACGATCACTTACACCAGTTTGATGATCTCTTCCCTGCGCAGCAAATCTCTCAAAAGAAACATTCTTAAAACGACCATTTCCCCTCTCTGAATCACCAGAACGATTAACTGAGTCATTCTGTCGATAATTTGTCTCATGGAATCTATTGTTCAAATCAGGGTATCGACTGGATGACCCTGAGAATCTATTACCAGAGTTTTGAAACCGATTTTGTGACTCAAAATGACCTCTGTTTTCTACTGAGCGTTGCTTTTGTTCATTTTTATATTTCATCATTCGATGAAACTTTTTACTAACCATAGCAAGCTCCTTTTCGAAATCAGTATCGATGTCATTTTCTGAATCGTACTCATAAACTCTACTTTTGAAAGCCAGACTCTTTCTGCGTCGTTCATCTTCCTTTCCCACCTGTTTAATCACATGTTCGTGACTCAGGAGAGATCCGATGAGTTCATCCACAGTCATAGTATTTAGGTTTCGGGCTTCTTCTATAGTTGTACGTTTGGGCAGCCATTCCTTTGGTAAGGATCGAAGAAGTTTTCTAACCATATCTTTAGAAGGAATTACTCGACCTAGGCCTTTCAATTTGTTTGTCAAACTAGTGAATCGGGAATACATATCATGAATTCCTTCACTAGCTTGCATATTAAAGGTCTCGTATTCATGCATTAATAAATCAATACGAGTTTCCTTAATGTTTGACGTACCTTTATAGGTTGCCTCTAGGATAGCCCAGATTTCTTTAGCAGTTTCGCACTGCTCCACTTTGTCGATCTCATCAGGTGAGATGGCAGTCTGCAGAATGTGCATGGCACGACAGTTGAGCTGTGCGCTCCTCTTCTGCTCATCTGACCATTCGCTTTGTCGCTCGGGATCCATTTCAATTGGTCCATCCTTGACGATTAGCCATAGATCGACATCTATTCCCCACATGAATGTTTTCATCCGTTTCTTCCAGGCATTATAATTGGAGCCTGTGAACCATGGCGGATTATGGTGCGATGCAGGACCAAAAGCAGCAGGAGAATTTGTTCCCATGGATCGTTACCTTCGGCAGTAGCGAGCTTCTTCAAAGGAAGGCTCTGATACCACTTGATGGTCGATTTTAGGGTTAGGGATTTGAGAAAATTTGAGAGGAAAGGGAAAGATGATACGAAGAAGATAATCGAACAGAAGGGGGTTTTGTTCTTCTTCTCGTAACTCTTTGGGCCGAAATTAACTCGAGGCCCAAATGGTTTAATAAAGGACTAGCCTAGTTCCGAGACTCGGTCTCTTCTCAGAGCAGCCTTAGGACTTCTCTTCAAGAAGCAGAGACGAAAACAGAGCAGAACAGCAATGAAAGAAGAACAGAATCAAAAGCAGGGACACAGCGATTTAACGAGGTTCACCAAGAATGGCTACGTCCTCGTCCTGGTAATAGTCCACACTACTACCGAGAGACACTATATTATCTGATTTAGACTCGAGTACAAGGTAAAATTGAAAACACAACCCAACAGAGTTCAACCCAAACTCTGTTGCTTCCAGCCACTCTCACAGAACCTATACCTCTGGAGAAAACCCTCTTTTAATCTTGACAAACTAGCTCTATTCCGCTATTCTCACAGAATGCAAAAGATGCTTGAAAAGACCACAGCCTATCCAATATATACTGCTCCCTTGGCTAGCCGTTGAAGAAGAGAGCCGTTGCTTGATTTACTTTGATCAGGCAGAGGGTTACCAAAAATGCAGACTTTCCTTGAATGGCTAGCTCTGATCTCGCCCAACAACTTTTACAAACCATATATGCATGCACCAATCTGGACTTGGATATGCCCCTTCTCGTTCCCTCAAGAATTGCTTCCTGAATTCATTCATCCATGCATTCTTTCTAGCAAACACCAACCGTCCTCCCTTCATTGAATATTTCCTCCCCATTGCCCTATCTCAAATCAACTTGTTTACTTAAAAAGTCCATTTACACGATTAAGGCAAGCCTTTGATCCGATGCGTATCACTTTCATAAAAAAGGCAGCCGAACCGCACCATCAGATCCCACGAGAACTGAAATCTCTCATATCCAATTATTAAAGCTCGATGTGTGATGGAATTACTTAACCTTAGCGTAAGCGACAATGCTGGCTCATGGTGGTCAAGTCCTTGTCGAAGGTAACGACTGCTGGCTTACACAACTGGTTTTATATAGCATCATCCTCGATAGGTGAGGAATCCTTGCAGCTTCACCACTTGCTTGCCAACGGTCTCTCCTTTTGTCCCCAGCAACTCGCTTCTCTTATCCACTGCATCAATCGCAAATCGACTAGGTATTTCCTGCCGCCATTCGACCTCACAACCTCTCTCAGCTATGTGTGTTATCGTAGCTAGTCAATCCCCCTCCCCGTAAACCCTAATGCCGGTATGTTTATAGCTATCATTTCCTCACACTTCCAGCCCACCTTGCACTAATTTCACTCCTTAGTGGTTACTCTGCTCTTGTTACGACATGAGAATGGGTTCTACATTGAGGACGGGGACAAGAGAACACCTTGAATTTGTGGCCTACCATTGATTATATGAACAATTTGGGTTTGGTTATCAGATGAGTCTCTCGAAGTTTCATGCCAATGGTTGACTCCAAACCCATCAATCTATTTCGGGTTGAACCTTATCCTAAAAGTCGGAGTGTTACAAATTATGAGAGTTGACTGCCACATCAGATAAAGTTAACTGAGTTAGAAGGTCAGTGACCAAACTTGAACTAATCTTAGTGACTACGACTGAAATAAAATATTTTTAATGACAAACGTGAAAAAATTCAGTGACCAAACTTACCATTTATCCTTTCTAAAGAGGAACTCCCTTAAACTATTCTCACCACTGCGGTCACCGACCATAATTGGTTTGCGCCTCACATGTGGGGATGTTCCTTCCCTAATACGAACAAAACAACCTCATATGGCCTTGGCGCATCGGCTAAACGATGACAACATTAAAGAAAATATAACAACACTGAAGAATGTTAAGAGCATCTATATATATAGAGTACTAATCATACTATACTGATCGTAGTAGACCGAAGAATGTTAAGAGAATCGAACTATACTTATAGTAAAACACACTTGTTGGGGTCCTCATGATGAGGTAATCAAGATCAAGCCTCCACAAGAAGAAGGCCCAACAATTCGTGCCAAAGCGAAGGCTATAAGGGAGCAAATTGCAAGTTATTTGGTTCCACAATTAAAGGAACGTGAAGTTGCTAGAAGGCAATCACATTACATTGCTACAATTTATGGACCAGATTGAAGAGAAGATGGGTTTGAAGGAAGGCAAGAAGGATTCAGTCTAGAAGAGGTTCTCATGATGTTAAAGGAATGAAGGTGTGAATGAAATCCCAAACTGTGAACACAAGGGGCGGATTTGAAGGCATGGGTTCAGAGGAGTTTTGACTTAGTCTTTTACTTGTGTTGTCAAGGATTTGTTTTCCTTTTTAGAGTAGGATTTTGTTATCCTTTGTAGTTTGTGTTTTATGGTTTCTTAAGCCTATTTAAGGTGGTCGAACCATTGTAATGGAATCACAAGTTTTCGGTTATTATATTAGGGAGTTTCTACAAGTGTTCTTCTAAGAACATTTGCTTAAATTTTCTTTGAGAATTCGGGAGGATTGAGTGTCTCTTATCAACTAGAAAATCATATCTAGTAATGAGGAGTTCGACTATATTGAGATTGTTTAGTCGATTTCCATCCTATCTTTATTTTCGTGTTATTCAAGAAAGGAGAAAACCTCAAAATAGTTCGATGTGTGCAACTCTAGTGTTTTGGTCCAAATCGAGGTTCTCTTCGCATTAGGGTCATACCATCTTATGGTTTACGAGAGAAATTTCACAATAGTTTAAAGCATTGATGTTTTAGTTTTTTTTCCCGTTATGATACAGCTTGAAGTTGTACCTATACTCTTTTGTGAAATCCTTTTATGATACAAACTAAAGTTGTACATTTATGTTATGGTACAACTTGAAATTGTACCAAAATATAAATGTCAAATTCCCTTATGATACAACTTCAGATTGTACATTCAACGTTATAGTACAACCTCAAGTTCTACTTTAAATCACCAATATTTTTGGGACTTTAAATCACCAATATTTTTGGGAGTCGAGAAAGTGAGCAACATTTGCAGATGTCTGGTTATCGTTGGTGTTCCTCACAAACATCAAAGCAATACATTTTTGCCTACTGATTGATTCTATAAGGGAAAGAAGATAGCCGCCTCGCAGAAATCTGGTGCACAAAAATCCAGCACTTGACTGGCAAATAAAAGCTATGAATCTTTATTATATGAGATGAGATGAGATGAGATTAGATTCCAAAGTCAACCTATCGCCAGGACAGAGACAGAGATTCCAAAGTCATTCCTTTCCTGGATAAGATAACCACCAAACTGTGCCGCTCTCATCAATCTTCATCATGCACCATGACACCATTACCTATCCCTGGATTCTGCATTCAGCGAAGAATAGTAGACGCACACAGGACAAGCACCAGAACCGGAAGGATACTAAACCAAAGGTCAATATTTTTTCCACTTAGGTTAGACAAGTTTATGAATCTCCTTCATCACTTTCTTCATCACTATACGAAACAAGACCCATTTCAGCTACGCAGTTAGACTTATCTGCTACCCCCGTTGATTTCCCCTCTGGACCAAGAGACTTTGCATTAGTCGTGGGAGGTGGTGTTTCCATTCCATCTGAGGCTTCCACGTCACTCCTATGTTCCGTCTTTGCTTTCTTTGACTGTGGCTTCACTTTAATTATCATATGTAGTGGACGAGATGATGGATTCTTCTTCCCTCCTGACTTATGCTCCTGGGGTACCAAAACAGCCGTCAGACTGTAAACCATGCAAACAGAAAAGGTCAAATGAACCTAGAAAGGGAAGTGTATTCTGAATTCGGTCAAATTTTATATCAGAAACGAACTTCCTTTACTGGCGGCAGAGGTTGTTTATCTTGCAATTCATGAACAGTGCTGGACTGTGCCACAACTGCTGCCTGAAATAAGCAGGGCACAAGAATGTTCAGTGAAGCCTAGGTGGTCATCAAACAGCAAGATACGTGAAAACAAAAAAGAAAGAAAGATAGGACACATCCATGGGTGTGGTTAAATTGAGTATTGACAATAAAAACCAAAAACCCTACTGCGAATATGTAGGGAAACATAGTTTTCTGTGGTTTAGGAATGAAGGTCATGCATAAGCAATAACCGCAGTTCAGTCTTACTGTTAATACTAGAGATTCCTTGGTCTGCATTAAGTCGAGAACAAAAGTGAAAGATAGAAGAAAAATAAGAGAGGATTGGTGAGTTCAAAGTACTTGGAAATTCCGAAGCTGCTCGGTTTCCTCATCTGCCACTTGTCGCTCAAGCTCCCTCCTTGACTGTAGGCAGAATGAACATATTATACTAGAGTTCTGATACGATAACAAGTGAAAACAGCAGTCTCATCGTGGGAACGGTAACCATATAATCATCTTGAATATTCAAGATTAACCAATATCGCAGCCTGTTCAACATGGCTTTCAAATACTCATCAAGTACCAGCACGCATGCTTCCCAAACAAGCAGCTGAATTGAATGTGATCTGCATACTTCCATAGTAAAAAATACACTTCATATAACAACCTCAGTTCATATTTCCGGGAAGCCTAGTTTGTATGTAGCCTCGATTTCCAAAGGACAAAGGTAACATACGGCCCTCGTTTTGTCTTCTTATAACTAATGATTAGCACCTGTGACAAAAAGCTAATGATTAGCAAGTCTTACCATCTCCAGATTATCGAGAAACTCGGTCTCATCTTCATCCAAAGCTTTCGGTGGCCCTACACCACACGAAACGAAGAAACAAGCATAAACACCTATGAACTATTCGGGCGAAAGCTGCATTGTCACAGTCTAATTTATGGGAATAATAGAGTAGAAACATAGCAAAAGTCTTATTAGCAGCAGTTTCTTCGAGAGTTGAAACGAGAACTTACTGTGCTTGAACCGTTCATTGAACTCCGCGTCCTTCTTGTCTTTGTTCTCTCTCAGTATCTGCATTCGGATAGTAGGCATAAGTAAGGCTCAAAGGCTTAGAATGAATAGGTAGGAGTTAAGGTATAGAGGAGCAAACTTCGTAGAGAGGCCGATCCCTCTGGGCGGTTCCATCCTCGACACGCTCTCCTCTCGTTTTCTTAGCATCATCTAACTGTATCGCGAATTCGATCGACGTGTAAGATCACAGCTGCATTCGATACTTGGAAAACAAAGAGAATGAAATTAGGGTTTTGCGATGGGATCGAAGTGGAGTTACCTGTTCCTCCGAGACGAAATTCATTAGCCGCATCGGAACAGCCGGTTCTTCCTCCATCTTATCCAAATTTCCCAATCCTCAGAGCTTCCAAAAACCCTAGTTGCTTCAAAATAAATTTTGGCGGTCCGGCTGGACTCTGGAACAACAAAGCGCCGGTGAGATAATACAACTTTGGCAAAGCGGGGTGCAAATTCCACGGTGACAATTGAGACGAAAATTGCAAGGTTCTCGAACCGCATTATTATACTATTATGGTTGGATCAGTAGTTTTTTTTTTCTTACCAAAATATCATTTGTATTATCGAGAAAATAGCATGGTAAAGGAAACCGTACCGGAAGTCATACCGGCTCCGCCAGTGGTAGGGTATTTTGTGGTACTACCGTGGTTCAATCGTTGTGTACCGGCAAAATACTGTTTTTGTAAATAAATAATATTTTTTTGTGAAAAAACCGTACCGGCAGATTTGTGATACCGTCTCGGAATAATACCGGAATAAAACCGGAATATACCGGATAACAAACCTGAATAAACTAAATAAGCATATGTAATATAAAATTCAACAAACTGCAACATTACTGAATTAACTACATAATCGTTCAAATGCATGTTTACGATCGAGTACAAACAACATTCTTAAACCACAAGTTCAAACAACATTCTCAAACCAAACAACATTCTAAAACCACAAGTTCACAACTACCACAAACACAAACTAGTAAACACTACAATGTTCACAAACAACGTTTCATATCGTCAAACAACACCAAATGTAGTTAAGTCAACATTCTCCAAGTCGTCCCCTTCATCTTCTTCATCACCAACTACAATACAAGAGAAAACAAGTAAGAATTATTATCAATTATTAGTATTAGAATTCATATCATACATAATTGATTTACAAACAAACCTTCCTCTTCTAATGCTCGATCCAGCTCATCAATATCCAATTCCTTTTCCCTAGAAGATGAACCTTCTTCCCCTTCTGACAACCAGTGACTAGTAACAGTAGAATCAATGCTGTCAAGGCTTATGGGATCATATGATTCTTTTTTGTTCTTGGTATAATACTCCCTAATCAAAGTAGAAAACATAAAATAATTCAATTCAATAGTAAGCATAGAAAGTATGAATTGAACACACAAGTTATATAATTCAAATCCTTACCTATTCTGCAATCGCAAGTTGTAATTCACAAACACCAAGTTACTAAGCACTTTATGCTGCAATCTGTTTCTTCTTTTGGTATGCACCCGTTCAAAGACACTCCAATTACGTTCACAACCAGAAGAAGCAGCAGTTTGGCTAAGAATTCGAATAGCCAACTTCTGAATATTTGGAGCATCAATGCCAAACCATTTCCACCACTTATCTACATATAAAACATAGATGTTAGTTTCTTAAATATTGTAATAAATAGAAGAACTTCAATGTACGTGATATTAATTACCTGGTTGTTGTTTCTGTGCAGAATCTATGGCCATCTTCCTCCCAAAGTTTCCTTCCTTTTCAGCATACAAATTCATCTCCGCCACCACCACACTATTTTCAAAATAGCAAGATACAACTCGTAACATAGCTGAAAATCGGGCGGGTAGGGGCAATTTTCACGACCGCCTGCAGTCAGACCGGTTTGGCCCAAAATCGCTGCCTGCGGTTTGGTCTATATATTTTTTTAAAATCCTAATCGAGTTGGAAACTTCAAATGAACGTATCTTTTTGTTCGGGTATCCGATCGTAGCGATTTTTTTTTATTTCGTATAATTTTTCAAGATCTCGCAAGCCGCAAACCGCTAAGATCCCGCATTCGTCCCTAAAAAAGTCATTTGCTGCCCCGAACGAGCTTTCTTCCGATTTCGTCAAACTTTGGACAGTCATAACTTTGTGCTCCAAAATCCGAACGTCATGAATTTTTTTTTTCATTTTGCATAAATTTTTAAGGACTATAACTTTTATCATAGACATAATTTGGGAATGTATGTGGATTTGTGAAAAGGGAAGCTAAGTTATTCCCAAAACCCTGTATATCCAAAAATAATTCATGTTTTGAAAATTCATTCCTAGTAAAAATTGTAGTCTTTAAAAAGTTATGCAAAATGAAAAAAATACATGACGTTCGGTTGTTCGAGCACAGGTTATGCTTGTTCAAAATTATTGAGGATTTTTAGCGTTCAAAAAATAAAACTTTGTCAATATATTATTCTTTCAAAAGAAGAGTTGTAGTTTGGTGGTGTAGATGTTGTGGTAAATTTAGTTAACTATTTATTATATCTGGGTTCGAACCACCATCCGCACAATATGCTGCTTTTTTTAATCTCTACTAAATAAAAAGACTTAATATGGGATGATGTGGATTCAAACCTAGGACTGCTTACACATAATAAACAACTAAATCAGTTGTGCCAAGACAACTGATGGTATTTATTTGGAAAATATATCTATATATATATATATGACATATATATAAAATACAAACCGCCAGGTGGGGGTGCGGTTTGAAACCAAACCACCCTGTCCCCACGCTGTCAGCAAAACCGCCCCCTACCCGTGCGGTTTTCGTGAAAGGGTGCTATTTTTGGATTTTTTGGGGTTGGGTGCTATTTTTTGATTTTTTTTAAAACAGTGATGTTTCTGGAAAAAGTCCCAACTTAGAAGCCCCATCCAACTCAAATTTGACTTTCTAGTTTAATTCACTCTCGTCTCTTACCTAATCTCTTGTTATTTTTATAAAAACACTAGTATTAGTCGTCTCTCAGCCTCCAATTCGTCAAATTAAAGATTAACAATGACAAGAATTTGAGATGTGACCTCTCCTCCATTCTCCTTATTCATATCCTACCTCTAGGCAAACTCAAGACTCGTTGCTTAGTTATTTGCCCTAAATTAAACAATAGATCTAATTTATATATTTAATTATTAATTACAAAGGTAATTAATTTTTGTATTCAATAATACCGATTGGGATACCAAAATATTTAGTGATTGAGATTGGGATTGACTTTAGGGTGTAATTTGGTATTTGGGATTTCGGTATTTAATATTGGGATACCGATATCGTACCTATTTTCACCACTAGTTATAGTCACGACCAACAAAAGTCAATTTAGTTACAATGCTAACAGCTCAAACTGTTAGTAGATACTGACAGGACATGATTGTTGTCCACGTGGCCGAACCGAGATATGAGGAGGGGGAAGGAGGAGCTCCGACATGTGAGGGGAAAGAGTGGCAGATCAGCTTGGCTGAACCAAGCCCCCTTCTACCTGTCAAGACAAGTGGCCCCACAATTCAAATAAAACCACTTTTCCCAGAGGGATTTTTTCAATAATAGCACGTTTAAAAAAAAATTACAAACTAGCACCAATTCGAAAAAATTGACAGAAATAGCACCAATTTTAATGGAACGCACCCCTAAGGTGCGTTTTACTTGTAAACCGCACCTTAGAGGTGTGTTCCAAGCCACGTCAGCTTAAGAAACGCAGCGCCAAGATGCGGTCTTCAGATTCTGTGGAACGATCTTGAAGACCGTTGGATGGAGGCACGATCGGAGCGTTGAACGCGCGCCAGCGGAGCGATCCGTGCCACGGATCTGGGAACGCATCGCCAAGGTGCGGTCAAGCCTCGGGAAACCCAAACCGCCTCGGCAAGGTGCGGTTTCTATGTGGGCAAAATTACCCGACCGCCCCTGGAGGGTGCGGTCTGTTGGGTATAAATACCCCCCTTCCCCTCTCATTTCTTCACACCACAACCCATTCTTTCTTCTCTCTCTAGATTTTATCTCTCTAAACCATCCCCTCCCAAAAGCCTAGGAAATAGTGGTTTGTTGGTTGCGGCTAAGTCCGATCTGCCATCAGAAAATATTTCTTAGGTTTTTTCCTCAAAACCCGTCGAGCTGAATCTCTGTCCGAAATTTGGTTTTTTCCTCAAAACCCGCTGAGCCGAGCCGAACCTCTGTCCGAATTTCCCGAAAAAATGGCCGATTGGTGGCAAGGAGAGGGAGTTTATGTCGATGAATTTCAAGCGGTATGTACTCATTATTCTGGTTTAATTTTTGTTGTTGTTATAAGCTTTTTAATTAATCTATGTACTAACCTCGTTGTTATTTTCTCGTAGGTTGGGGAGGACGTGGATATATACAATCAACGGTATTATCTCAAGCAAGGACCGTTGGATCCAACCGACTTGTATGACCAACCCAACCATCGGTCAAGGGATGTTTGGAACGATCACCCGGTACATACAATTCTTCAACATTTGTCCTTCTTTTATTTTGTTAATGTATTTAGTGGAATATAAAATAAATTTATGTTGATTTTTTAATCGTGTTGGTTGTTTTCAATAATTTAATCGAATACATAGCGCCACTTACTTCGACTCTTTATAAAGAGATGCACGTCTAAGGAAATGGGGTTTTAAGCGATTATCATATCCTCCCATTACCTGGGAAAATCGGGTATTAAAAGATCCTCGGATCCCCCTTTTTTTTTGTCAAAAAGACTGCGTTTCTAAGAAAATGTATACCTCTTCTAAGAGTCTAACGAGTGTTGCTCTGTATTCGATTAAATTATTTAAAACAACCAATATGATTAAATTATTTACCAAACAACAAATACGATTTATTTTTATGTGTACAAAAAGAGTTTTATTAATTTCAAACATTTGAATATGTATGTTTCTATTTAAATTATTATTCATTAACAATGTTTTTTGTGTTAATTAATTTAGTATGTTTGTTTTACGATAATATGTATGCATCTCTTTAAATTATTATTCATTTAGAATGTTATTATGTTAATTAATTTAGGATGTTTGTTTTATGATAATATGATAATATGAAATGTCTTTTTATGATACTAAAATTCTGCTTGAAGTTAAATAATTTAATTTAATTAATTTAGCTATAAGAAAAAAACCCTTACTAATATATAATAATTAACGTGTAAATTTTCGCTAGGAGTCACAAACAATAATCCGCTACAGGGGTACCACCAATGTGCTCCCATTCCACCAAGCTATCTTGCCCTTTCTCAAAAGGGCACGGTTGGACTCGATTAGGCATTTTAACGGCATCAAAGTTGATCGCCAACTCATCACCGCATTGGCCGAGAGATGGAGAAAGGAGACCCATTGTTTCAACTTTAGAGAAGGAGAGGCCACCATCACGCCAAAGGATGTCGCCATCCTAACCCATCTGCCCATCGACGGCAAATCGGTGTGCGCGAGTGATCATCCCCCCGAGGATCGTGACGGTATGCCCGGTTGGGTTCATTTCATCCATCGTCATTTGGGAGTGAAAGTACCGGTGAAGGGGTGCGTTGATGCGACCGATCGCATGTCACCAATGAGGAAACACCAAGTCTCAATTACTTGTTTGACGAAGTATTTTAGAGACCATTACGAGAGTCATCCCCTAACCGAGGAAAGTCTGGAGGATGAGAAGGAGAGATATGCTCGTGTCTATCTCATAGGCATGATCGGAGGAGTGTTCTTCTCCTAAAAATCAAGCAATCTCCTTAGTTGTGGATGGCTTAGGATCATCTTCGGTCGTTGGGAGGAGATGGGGGAGTATAGTTGGGCATCCGCTTGCCTAGCGATGATCTACCACAACTTGTGCAATGCGTCTCTAAAAGCTGTGAGGGAGGTCGGCGGCGCAATGTTCATCGTCCAATTTTGGGCTTGGGAGCATATGCCATGGATTGCATCGGTCCAACGTCCAGACAGGGATTGGCCAATCGATCATCCCCTAAGAGGTGAAGCTTATGGTACAAGGTAAACTTCTCATACCCCATCATGTTTTTCATAACACATTTTCCCTTGTGTTTTAGCTTATTGTAGTTTCATTATTGTCTTATTAATAAGGTGGCTCGGACACACAACATGCGACAACCTTGCCCAACACAAGTTGGACGAGTATCGGAGGAGGTTTGAGCGACTTTGGGAAGGAGAGGTAACTTCTATACTTCGATCCATTTATATCTTTTTTCCATGGGACTACATGTATTTTTCTAATTAATTAATCTTACATTACTCATTTCTTTCTTGTAGATCGTCTTCGATCCATACCTGGAGAACATCGTTCATTGGCATCTCCAGCAATTCCCCGGTCATATCGGGCAATGGCGCACGAGGGTCCCTCTAATTTGTTTTTGGACCGTGGAGTGGCACTTGCCGGATTGATGCCTCCGTCAGTTTGGTCGGGAGAAGTGCATTCCGTTGGAGGTCCCCGATAGTCAAAGGGCCTTTCATGGCCGAGATGGTCGGCAAGGTACTCGCGATTGGCCCACGAAGTTGGCAAACTTCATCGCGATTTGGGAGAACCGACAATCCCAAGATATTGTCACTCGAACTCAAGTGGGCCGAATGGGGTATCATGACCCATACTTGGATCGATATCGGCAAACATCGGTTCGTTACATGACTCCGGAGGGTGCGGCCGATGGTGCATTGGTAAGTATATTCCGTCTAAACAATTAAATTTATTACTTGGTTCCTAAATCTTTTTCTAACTTCTTTTTTTTTTGTGATTTAGGCTGATGGGATCGAGCGGATCAAAGATATGACCACCGGGAGAACTGAGTTGGGCAATGAAGATGTGAGCTTCATCAGGAGGATGTCAAATTGTCTACTTGGCTGTATCAGAGCTCAGGGTCGGGATCATTGTAGATATCCGACCGTGCCCGCACCCCCACCACCTCCTGTACAACTTGATGTCCCCAATCCCCCACCACCATACGAGAGAAAGAAGAGCAAGAGGGTTCGGGAAAGGCCCAACGTGCCCGACGTAACGCCATATTGGGGGTGGAAAGTGGTGCCGGACCGAGTTCCACCCAAGCTCCCCGCCCGACCTCCGCCCCATCTCCCCGCCCGACTTCCGCCCAAGATCCCCACCCGACTTCATCCCAAGATCCCCGCCCGACTTCATCCCAAGAGTTCCGCCCCTCCTACCACGACGATCCCCACCCAAGCTCATACTACGATCCCCTCTCGACCTACCATCAATCCCCTCCGAGTTTCCACCAATCCCCATATGATCCCACCCCGATCTCATACAACGATCCCCGCCAAACATACTACGATTCCCACCCGGTTTACCCCCCATCTCCCCGCCAAACATCATCTGGGACTTGGCATGATGGCTCCTCCACGAGTTCAACCCATTGACTCGCACTCATCAACAGTGGCCTCCTACTCCTCACCGTATGAGCGCGGATGTCGCCCGCTTGACCCCGGAAGCGCCGCTTCCCCGCTGACATAGCACCGACGAGCGCCACACTACCTCGGCCGTTCGAAACTTGCCACCGCAACCACCTATTGTTACTCCCGTCGACAAACGTACAAGGAGCAAGAAAACCGTGGGTTCCGGTGAAGCTCGTGGACTTCCTTGAGATGTATTTTGAGTTTATTTTTATTTCTATGTACTTGGAACTATTCCCCTTATTTTAGTTTATTTAATTGAGTGTTGTTTCAATTTGGGTTTTATTTCTATGTACTTGGAACTATTTCCCCTTATCTTAGTTTATTTAATTGAGTGTTGATCAATTTTTTATTATAACGATTCCTTGGAACTATTCCTCTTCACTTGATATAATCCCAATTCGTTCAATCAACAATACACAATTAAATACAACGTAAGAGTTACAACTAGATTGAAGAATGATAATCGCAAATTATGTCGCATTAGCTGAGTCTAGATTGAAGAATGATAATCGCAAATTATGTCGCATTAGCTGAGTCCGGCACATCAGCACCCGGATTTTGCGGACCAATCGGTCCTGGACACCTTCGTGTATCATGTCCGAATAGCGGGGTGATCAATTTTCCTTCGTACAGCAGCCAATAAGCTTCATCAGGCAATGCATGGAAACTCCGTCCATAGGTGTTTTTGAGTGAGTCGATATTGAAGAATGGACTAACGAAGTGACGGGGGTCTTTGCTCCTGTTTTTAATTATGGCCATTGCATGAGAACAAGGCCACCCTCTCCCCTGATACTTCTGGCATGAGCACTCACCAACTTTTGTCCTGAAATTGACCAAAACTTCAAGGCGGTGGCCTCCCCGTCTACCATCCTCCCGATGTCCGGTCGTCACGCTATACTCGCCATTTGCCCGATTCATAACGGTTACACTATGTCGACTGCTCTTGCGATTGTCATTATCCATTACTTCCATGACTTTATAGGCATGGACCTTTCCCTGTGCCTCATTCGTCCTTGCCCAGTGGAGTCGGTTGACGAACCATGCATTCGTTTTCCAAAAAGTCATCTCCACAATGGCAGAGATTGGCAGTGCATGAACGACCTTGTAGACAGAGTTGATACTCTCACCTGAGTTCGTTGTGGCAATACCCATCTTGTCCCTCCATCTTTATGAAATGTCCACATGGATAGGTCGTGTCCATCCAGCCACTGTGCCCCTTCAGGGCATAGCTCGCGCATCTTCTGCATCTTCTCCAGAATTTTTTTCTCTTGGTAGGAAACCGCTAAGGAAGACACAGAAAAGTAGTACGTTAGTCTGAGTTCGGCAGTTTAGTACAATTCGAACAACCCGGAGGAACTCTCGTTAGACTCTTAGGAGAGGTATACATCTCCTTAGAAACACAGCATGTTTGACAGAAAAAAGGGGGGATCCGAAGATCGCTTAATACCCGATTTTCCCAGGAAATGGGAGGACCATGATAATCGCTTAAAACCCCATTTCGTTAGGCATGCATCTCTTTAGAAAGATTCTAACAAGTGCACCACTCTTCTGATACACGATATTGTTAGCTGACAAAATTAAACGGCTAATAGAGAACTTACCAATCCACCACAAATTATTAGCAAGCTTCTTCCGCTTGAAATGATGGTTCCAGTTGCTCTTGAAGTGTCGTATGCACCACCTTTGGGACCACTTCCAGGCTGGATCTAAACCTAAGATGGCAGCTCTAATGCCGGCGTGCCGATCAGAGATTATTGTCAGGTTCGTCCTCCTGGTGACGTGGATTTGAATTTGCCGGAAAAACCATCCATAGCTATCAGCATTCTCTCCCTCAACAATGGCGAAGGATAAAGGAAAGACTTGTCTGTTGCATCCGCCCCACTGGCAATCAGGAGAGTTCCCTTGTACTTGCCGGTAAGGAATGTACCATCCACTTGGATCACAGGGACACAGAAGCCAAAACCATCAATAGATGGCTTGAATGCCCAAAAAAGTCGTCTGAAATGGCGCTTGTTACCTGGCTCTGGGGGTTGTATCTCTTCATCTTGGTACCGAGGGGAGAAAACTGTGCCAGGGTTAGACGCCTCCAATGCCAAAATTAACCTGGGAAGGAATGCATACGATTCTTCCCAATGACCAAAGACGGCGGCCAGAGCTTTCTGCTTTCCATGCCACGCCTTCTTATAGTTAATCGTATAACCATAACGACTTGCAATGTCAGCGATTATAACTTTCACCTTCAGGTCCGGATCTTGCTCAATTAGATGCTTGATAGCCGCAGCAACCACCCTGGATTTCAACTATCGATGGCCTTGGGAAGTTATGGATGACACACATGTGTGTGTGTTCACCGCACGGGATATGACCCAGTGGTCGTGTCTCTTGCTGTTGATGGCCCGGATCCTAACATTGCACCCCTCGTGATGATTACGACATCTGACTATGAGCCTTTTAGTGTTGGAATGAGTTGTGTGCCATTCAAAATGTCGAGTCATTGCTTTAGTCTCAATGGCGTGTCGCACCTCCTTCTTCGAGCCAAATTGTTGGCCCTTCATAAACCTAGTGAGTGGACCCCATATTGGGACCTCTGGCTGCTCCATGTCGCTGTCGACCATCCAATTGCCGTCTGGAATGTGATTGTAGTAGGGGACTGGTACACGGTCACAAGCCACCTCATCATCATTAGCTGAGTCTGACTATGGCCCTAAATCATCAGCACCTTCAAGAGGGTCGGAGCTGTCTGCACTGACGTTGTTCTCTCCTTCTTCATCGGAGGGGTCACTGACTGGTGCTGGCGGGGTCACCTCCATCTGATCCAACTCATGAAAGGCACCTTCATCAGCTCCATAATGGTAGTTGTGAAAACTACTGCTGTCTGATTGGAAGTTGTACTGAGGTTGGTTGGGGAGGTCCGGTTGAACTTCTTCTTCATATGACGGGAAAGATTGATGATGACCTTCACCTTGCTCTTGGTACTGAAAATAGGAATGTGGATCATGGTAACTTTGGTACGGATGATTGCCATATAATTCACCTCCACCATGGATACCAGATGTTTGACCGTGTCCAGAATGACCTCCAACGCCTACGACCGGCTCGGTGTAAACGATTGGAAAGATTGTTGGATCTCAAGAATTCGAGCATGGCATCTACCTCATCCTGAGTGGTTATGTGATATTCCTCATGCCACAATGACCCACTTTCTCAGTTTGGATATCGATACACCATACGATCAACTCTTCTCGTGCCATCCATGCAAGTAACATTACTGCACATTTGATGGAGGTCTTCAAGCAGCGGTCTGGTAGCGACCTTTATCTTCTGAAAATTGCGACCGACGTAGGTGACCCCCTTTCCGGTCTCTTCCGTGTAACCATTCCACCGTAAGCCTAGCGTGAACTTTTGGAATGCCATCTGCGAAAAAACCGTAGTTCAGTTAATATCATAGAAAAAAAATAACACTAAAAAGTAATACAAAATAACTTACGAGTTAACGTTAATCGCAAAACTACTAAAGAAATATAGAGGTACAACAGAAAATTGAAAAGGGAGAAGGAGAGGTGTGAAGAGAAGTGGTTTTCCGGAAGCCTTTTATAGGCAAAATCACTGATGAAAACCGCACCTTAGAGGTGCGATTTTCGTCTGCCATGCAGTCCCATGCAGACCCACGTCTGTTATTCTGCATGACATGTCGGAAATTAATTGACCAAAACCGCACCTTGGGGGTGCGGTTTTTGTTTGGGAGGAGCAAACCGCAGCTTCATGGTGCGGTTTAGATAGGTCAGGCCAAAACCGTACCTCGGCCAAGCGGTTTCTGTAGGTCAGACCTAAAACCGCTTGGCCAAGATGCGGTTTTGGTTCAGGATTTTAAAACGCGCCATAGAGGTGCGGTTTATATGTAAAACGCACCTCTAAGGTGCGGTTTATATGTAAAACGCACCTCTAAGGTGCGGTTTATATATAAAACGCACTTCTAAGGTGCGGTCCATAAAAAAGGGTGCTATTAGTGTAAATTTTTTTCGGCTGGGCGCTATTTTTGTAAAAAAATTTTAAAAGGTGCTATTTCTGGAAAAATCCCAAAATAACCTAACATTTGAGTTTCAGATCTAGCTTCTCTCACTCTTTTTCATTTCTCCATTCATCTCTCTCCCTCTCCTAGTCCGATCTCTTTGTTTCTCTCACTCTTTTTCATCTCTCCATACCTCTCCCTCTCTTCTCATCTGCTCTCTCTATTCTTAGCAGAAATCGAAGAAGCCTCCGGAGCTCAAATTGGAGAACCCTCCGGAGCTCTTTCCAACCGAAGATATGAATATCACATCTCACAAAGTTCTCATAGGTGGTTGAAGTAAGATGAAAAAGAAACATACAAGAAAATGGTAAAGTCTCCCTCATCTCTCTCTCTCCGCAATTTA